CTTTTTTTTTTTTTTTTTTGTCTTTCTGGGTAAATCGATGTTCTTTTTCTTGTCCCAAGCCCGGAGTTGGTAGCAGCAAACTTAACGCAATAATACGCGCGACTCGATCTGGTTACACTGCGGTATGGAAACAACCGATCTGACTTGCTCCCGTCAGCCTTGTTCCCACTTTTTCAAACGCCACACGCCATTCCAATCCACCCCTCCCGAGCCATCCATCAATTAGAACCCGCTCGTGAGGGGCACACTGAGCAGCTACCTAATGATGATGCTACCATGCTAGAGTTCCGAGGAGAAAAAAAGCAACACGAGACAATGTCAATAATTCCAGAGCTACAAATTATACCTTCCTAATTCATTCCACGCCCCTCCTTCTTCGGTCCCGTCCAAATAAACTCGAAACAGCCTAACGGTGTTCGGCCGGATGATTCTCCCTTGCTCACCTCGATGAGGATGTTACTTACTGCTGAACCTAAGATACTTGTGTAACCCTAAGCCGTAAAGAGGTAAGCGGCTGATCGATCATTACCCTCTTTTGTTTCTGTTGCGTATCGGCAACCAATCTTTGTACCGTGCATTTCAAACGCAACTTAAGACTAATAAAAAATAACAAAAAATGAAGCCAGGAAAGGATGTAAAGGACCGAAAGAAAGGAGGGGGAAAAACATTGATATGGATATGGATAAGGAAAGCAATTGCGATTACTTACCCCGTGCAATCAGCGATCGTGTCACCCTGTACTCGTTGGTTGGGGTTTCCTGGAGAGGCAGCCTCGGAGCCGTAGCCACAACACTATCTACTTAATTTGAGTGTCCGTCGGGACTCGCTTGAATCTCCAGATTCCCTCGAGCAGCCTCTGAAGTGTCAGGATTTCATGTCCGCCCCCACATGTACTTCCGTGCAATCAGCCTGTGGGCCCACCCGGCTTAGTGACTCTTGGCATTTTTGGAGACTTAATCAGAGCGACTCTTCGAGGCCCTACCTTTTTTTTTTTTTTTTTTTTTCATATATTCTTTCAAAAATTTACACTCCAAATGAGACATGAGGCCCAAAGTAATAAAAGAAGTGATAAGACAATCTCGGCCACATTGCAACAGAGGCATTTTTTCCTGAGCTAAGATAAGCTCCATCCTCCAATCCATTCCGCAAAACACAGACAAGCATCTGATTGCTCTTGTGCATCGTACCCATGTGAAAATTGAAACTAAATCTAGCAGCGGGTGCGCGTAAGATCTCCATCATCTTGGGGTTACTGGGGCCTCCATCATGGCCTGTAGGCATCCGGACGTGCGTGCATGCTGCTGTTGACACCCATAGTACATCAACAGTATCAGGATAAATGAAGCCTCAATCACGAGGTTAATCAGTCGACAGATATGTGCATATACGTATGCATGGTCGGAATTACTGTAGACGCCATACTTTTTTTACTTTTCATGTACTGCACCTTGCTATGCACACTTACTCTGCAGTCCATGCTAAGCCCTGAAGAGATGTTACTCAGGTACCTAGCATGAGAGGAGTGCGGTTGTTGCCGTTGTGCTTGTGGACACCAGAGAGCTCCCTCAGCTGTCGTCGATAGTAAGCACTGTGGTTCGTATAGCGTACCATTGTTTGGTAGGTTTGGAACGCCGGAAAATGCCCTTCCAGAACAGGGCTAGTGGGAAGGTCGTCGTCATCAAAAAAAAAAAATCCTCCCCTTTTCGGTTCACAACTGCTGCGCCGCTTGGAAAATCAACCGGCCACTCCTCCAGGAGGCCATGTGTACTCCGTATGGCATGCTCACCACCTTAGCTGCCTTTTAGCGTCGGGTCAGTGGAGCCCTTGGGCTGGACGCAAGCAACGGTGTCAGGCTTCCTTGGCCTACGATTGGCACAAGCCTTTGTGATCGATGCAGGGTGCGAAAGACCACCCATCTTCCGCCTCCATAGTTCCGTATTCCCCCCGGTCGCTTGCCGTTCACCGGCCACGCTTTAATTATTTATCTTTTCTTTAATTATTTTTCCCTCTCTCTATCCTCAAATCCCGCAGTTAATGAAAAAAAAAATATTATTTTTTTTTATTTTTTGGTTTTTGTTCACATGACTGGCGATAATCCTTCTTTGTTGGATGGGAAATTGGAAACCCACACATATATCGAATGGAGTTCCAGAACAATCTCAGACCCATCTGGCTTGAAAATTTTACAGTGCAACGCTTGTGCAAAGTTCAGCACCCAGATGATTTGAGAAAGATAGCCGCGGTCTCGAGATTACCAAAATAAAGAGGGGCAAGTGGGAAAAGCTTTGGGAAACTATAGAGACGCGGAGCCGACCTAAGGCACGGACAACTGGGGCTTCCAATTACCAGGACATACGGAGATAACCGTCTTAATCAGTATCGGCAATGAGCTGTGATTCCATGGGGTACCGATCAACACAGCACTCACATCGGTTTTTTTTTTTTTGGCTGACCGTGGCTACAAAGTTTGCTCCTCCGTACAGGGACTGTTTCGGGAGGCCGTGCTCGGAAACGACCATGCGTGTCGATTAGGGTTGTGGAAATTGCTGACAGGTTGAAGTGACTAGGGGAAAACATGCTTAACCGCTCCTGGCCGGCAGGTTACGTTAGATCATCGAGTGGATATGGGAGCCACCAACAGTGGGTGATACATCCTTCCCCCCCCTCAATATCTGGCGTTCTACCTATGCCACTGGATCTCTGAGACCGAGTCAACAAATGTGACGAGTTTACTAGTAGCTCGCTCCCTTGTTTGCTCTCTTGCTGTCAAGAGTCGTCACATACATAGTATGACTATTGTCTGACGAGTGGACGAGACTCGTCGCGAGCTGAAACCGAGAACGAGCAGATTCATAATACTAACTCTTAAGAAATTGGAATATTAATTAAATGGGCCCCCGGATGACAGGGAAAAGCGGAGCAATATCACTAAAGTAAAGCTAAGAAAAACGAACCACGGGGGGCTGGCTTTCCGACTCCGACCCCTGGGCGGATCAAACAAATCTCACAGGCATTGCTAGATATCGTCGGATCGACTGGGGCTGTGAGTTGATCCGCTGTGTTACCCGTCGGTCGCTAAGCCTTCTGTATAAAGGACGGAGGCACGCTCCGTACGCTCTACCAAGTTGGACTAAATGTTAACGATAGGCGTTATAGTTATATTATCATCATTATTGTTATTTCTCCCTTTTTCTCCCTTCTGTATGCAAGACATGTACAACCTGAGTTCTAACCAAAAATATAACTCACAAAGCTAAAACGGCGCCAGCGTATGGAGCTCGAGCAGAAATTAACCCCCCCCCAAAAAAAAAGAAAAGAAAAGAAAAACCGGTAACTGTTAGAAAACTTAAAACACCAACACATACTACATGCCTAAAAGACTAAACCCTTCAGAGATTTAATTTCCTTTCATCCAGTCAACAGTTAATATGATCATTCATTAATTTCTCCCCCTCCTTTTTTACATTCGCCCTTTTAATCTCAGGACTAGCATACTTTGGGAGATGATCAGCAACCGGGGAGTCATGCACATCAGATTTTGCGTTACCCATACGGATAATATTAATAGCATGCCATCCCTGGTCAAAATAACGATCAACGATATTGGAAGAGAACAAAGGGGGCAGATAGGTCCCACGTTCCATATTGGATAGGTTCGTTTGGATGTACTCTGAAAGGACTATCAGACAATATGATAGTGCTCAGTACTACAGTACGACAATCCGCAATCCGCATCTCGGTCGCAGGTTTGATATCCTTACTGTGGTATAATGATGTGAGTAATATAGACGTCATGCGATCCCAACCCATCACAGCCTCCTGAATGGACCATCTCGAAAAACATTAAGAGCCATCATACTAGACCCAGAGATCACCAGCTAAGCCCAATCTTATCCCGATTAGGCATGTCTCCGGACGAAGTGTCATTGGAAGAAAACTTTGCCAGTCGTTGTGATGCTCTATAATCGACTCCCTGCGATGTAGCCCCACAGTCTCCGACTCTCCGTCTCCACTGCTATTATACCCCCGCCAGAACCATAACATCATAATCTACTCTTTCTCGGGTATAACGGAGACGGTAAGGTCCTATCGGCGAGACTAGCCCATGATCGCCGAATGCCAACCCAGCCAGAAAAAAAAGCAAAGATAATAATTATTATTTAACCGTTGGGGAATGGCTACGGGGTGGGGCGAAGCCACCTGGAGCTGATACTGATGCTACTCTACCTTCAGTCCGGTCCCCAACGGGGCCCCTGTCAAAGGTGGGAAACCCTCCACAAGGCTCGCTCTCTGACCAGCCAAAGTGCTTAGACCGGAAACGAAATCTTGATCGTCTTGGCCGTTCCTTGGCACTCTGTCCAGTCCATGGTAGCCCTACCCCCCGACGACTCACGAGCTCCGCCTTGCAACCTTGGCTCAACAGGCGATCCAAGTTTCCCCCAACGTTCGGATCTATGACAAAGAAAAAGCTGAGACAAAAGGAAACAAAAAAAGCTAAAGCGCTCTCCAGGAACCCTATCTAGATTTGTCATTCTTCAACCATGGGTCCCTGATTTGAAATTGTTCCTCCCATGGCACGACACGGCCCCAGTATCGGATACACCAGCCGTAGAAAACATCCGAGGGAGTTCTCCGTGGTAGATCGCCGAAAGCTACCTTACTTTCCTCATCTCACCTTACTCCGACCGCACTAGTTCCCCCATTCCCATTCCATTCCATCCCTATACCCATGAACTCGGATGTAAAGCTCGGGTCTCGCCAGGCCGATTATCGCCGACCTCCTGCGCAAGAAAACTGGTCTGTGTGATGATCCCCACCAGGGGGGGGGTGGGCGGAGGGAAACTGGAGCACAGTGGAACTCCACTTCACCTGCTGCCTCTCTTTGTTTGTGTCTCATTCTCTCTGTTTTTCGTAATTCGAACCACTTGTTCGGCTCGGTCCTGTCTATCGTACTTTGGTTCCCTCGTGCTCAGTACTATTGTCAAGCCTATTACGGAGGATATCTCGTGGTCATACAACCTTAATGCCGATCCCTACCGCAACAGACCGGGATGTCCCAAAAAGGCCATTCCAGAATCCGCGTTCGTCCAGTCATTCTACTCCTGCATGTCCATTGACAGGGCAGAAACAGACAGTCAAACGAAACCAAAGTAAGGCTGACAGGTAGTATCTCCCATCCAACACCGTCTAGTCCAAGGAGGGGTTTGCTGTTACTATTACTATTATAACGAGGCTTAGTATTATGATTATGACTCCAACTATAGCTTTTCTCCGCATGTAGATCCACGACAACAAAAAGCGAATCCACTCTGCAGATGGAATACGGACGCAAAAGAGCCGCTTACCTAAATAAGGTTGGTGGCAGGTCGACCTCAAAAAGAAAAAGAAAAAACAAAAAAACAAAAACAAAAAACGAGAGAAAGGAAAAAAAAAAGCAGTGGCCGAAGCTCGGGCAGCCCGGTCGAAACAACCCTCCAACTCCAACGATGTTAGTGGAGTAGCGTGCGTTAGTAGCGTTAGTAGCCTAGGTACAGGACACACAATCCATAATCCACGAGAACTAAATCGCCAGTGCTGGCCTGCGACTTAGTAATCCAGCCAACACAGAGCTTCCTGACTACTAGTCAACTACAAACTAACTATTAACAGGATCGTTTTATGGTTCCCTCCGCCAAGCTAAACCATATTGTCTCGCGTCGGCTGTCGCACGGAAATGACCGAACTTCTGCCGCCACTAACCAAACGTTATTTTGGCGCGGAGGGGTTCGATTACCCGAGATTTAGTTTCTTAGGAAATCGGTCGTGACTGTACGCGTACCATGCTGAGGTATTCGACGAGCATTTGATATCGAATGATCGCCTCTGTTGGGATGGACAGTAGGGGAATACTACCTTGTCAGGGTCTACTACTAGTTAAGGTGATACAAACACCATGCAGAAATAAATAAATAAACCCCAAAATTAATATATATATCCATCTATATTATGATTGTCAAGAGCCAGTTAGCTTGTCCCCCGTGGAAGAACATGTGATCTGAGCCCTCAAACATGATAAACCAAACAGTAACTACTGGTAACTCCAACTACTAAGTTCTACATACCTAACCAAAGACCAGTCGGTATTCTCCGGCCCCACCGACGGAGAGAACTCCCATGGATTGTAAAGTACGTACTTACTTCACTGGTCCAAGGAACAAACGGCTAGCACAGGAAGCATGCGAGGATAGCCTCGAACCATGTAACTCAGGGTCAAGTAACTACTACCACCCTAGAGAGTGTAATAGATTATTTTTAGCTGATGGCATGAGCCAGAATAAAACAACACGGGGTTCGAAAAAAAAAAACGGGGCACGAGTCCGTATCCGCGCTCCGTAATTCCGACTAAACAAAAAACAAGCAAAAACACAATTAAAAAAATATAAAAAAAAAAAAAAAAAAAAAAAAAAAAAAAAAAAAAAAAAAAAAAAAAAAAAAAAAAAAAAAAAAAAAAAAAAAGATTGTAGGGTTGTACGAAAAGGCGCACACAGAGCTCATGTAAAGGGTGGGCCGGGTACTCCCCTCCGTCGTACATACTACACACTGGCACTTGCAATGATAGTTACTAGTATAGTGGCTAGTCCGGTCCTAATCTAACTGACTCGTAGAGGGCTGGCATGCCCTGGTCTCATTAATGGGCCACATTTGTTCTCAATTCCATATTCGGCCCGTTCAGGGGATCGCTGGGATAAATGTCTGTCTGTCTGTTTTTTTTATTTTTTCTTCTCTTTCTTTTCTTTCTTTCTTTTTTTTTTTAACTAC